AAGTCCCCAACCCCCTTTGGGGGGGGGCGGCCCCTTTTTTAGGGGCCCCCCAAATTCCCCCCGGGCTTTTCCCCTTTGGTTATGGAAACCCCTTTCCCGGGAAAACCCCGGGGTTCCCCCCCCCGTTTTTTGGGGGGGGGGGGTCAATGGTCAAAAGAATTCGGCCCCCCCGGTTTTGGGTTCCCCCCCCCCCCCCCCCCCCCCCCCGCCCCGATGCGTAACGACCCACCATGATAGCTTGAAACGGGGCGAGTGGACCGCGGAAGAGGAGCGCGTGTTGCTGGAGCGGTACGCCGAGATAGGCCCCAAGGTGCGTGACCCCCGCCGCCTTCGTCGAGTGCTCGACGGATGGACAGACAGAGCGACACCACGCTTGAGGTTGCTCATGCAAGTGTATCGAGTTAATACAGCTGGCTTTCTCATGCGCACCGTTCCCGTTGTTGTTGTTGTTGTCGTGTGTGCTGAAAAGGTACAGCAGTACTTGGAAGGAAGGGCTCGTAGAATGCCCCCCCCCCCACCCCCCGCAGGCTAGCGTTGCCTCTCTTTCCCCTGCGGCGGCATCGATTACTTGCCCATCTCCCTCTCCGACGACGATCTGCCTTGCCCTGTCTTGATCCTGTCTGTCACTTCTCCTCCGCTCCCTGCTTCCTTCAAAATCGATTGCTCGACGAAAGCAGTGGTCTCAGATCTCCAAGCTGATCCCGGGAAGGAGCTACAACTCCGTCAAGAACCAGTGGTCGGCCTTCAACCGGGGGAGGGGAGTGTCGAGCCGTGGCAAGAGCAACGCCGCCGATGCCAACTGCGTCGGCGGTGCGCACTTCGCCGGCGGCGTCGGCGGCGTCGGCGGCGTCCCCGTGCACGCAAACACCGGCGGGGGCGTCGCCGAAGGCGTGGCGGAAGGCGTGATCGGAGCGATGGTCCACGACGGCGGCCTGATCGGGCTTGACGGTAACAGCTTGGACGGGATCGGCGGCGGCGGCGGCGGCGGCGGCGGTGGCGGCGGCGGAGGCGTGTTGCCTGGCGTACAGGCGGTGACGAACGGAGACGGGCTCAACGAAAGCACTTGGTTGAGCCTAGGCGGGGGTCCGGTGGGGAACGGGGTCGTCACCGTTGCCGGTGCCGAGGTTGACCACCCGGGAGACGACCTCGTGATCGATGCCGGCGTCCGGGATGACGGCGGGGGCGGCGACGCAGGAGGCGTTGGCGCGGTCGCTGGCGGCGTAGACGGCGGTGGTGTTGTTGCTGCTGGGCAGCATCCGGTACCGGGCGGCAGGCCGTCGCATGACGTGGGGGGAGGCGAAGGGGGGGGGGTCGTGGGGCTGGGAGGGCACGGGGTGGAGGAAGACGATCACCTCGGGTTGATGAAGGCGGCCGCGGAGCAGTCGGCCGCCGAGCAGAAGCAGGCCGACGAGGAGCTGGCGGAGGCGGTTATGAGAGAAGCAGCGGCGGATCATTCTCTGGGCGTGGAGATTCCGCATGAGGAGCAGCAGCAGCAGGAGACTCGGTTAGAGCCAACGGGCATGCAGCAGCAGGAAGGGTACCAACAGCCTCAAGCGCTGCAGCTGCAGCCTTTTTTGCCAGAGCAACAGCGGCAGCACGTGCGGCCGGGGTCTGTCTTGCAGGCTGAACTGGAGCAGCAGCACCAACAGCAGCAGCCGCAATCTGTGCTACAAGAACAGCAGCAGCAGCAGCAGCAGCAGCAGCAGCAAGAACAACGACACCCTCAGGCGCCGTCGGTGTTGCAAGAGCAGCAGCAACTGCAAAATCAGCTTCAAAATCAGCAACAAGAGCAGCAGCCTCATCCTCAAGAGCAGCAGCAACAGCCACAGCACCTTGCCCATCTTTGTCCACAAGTCGAACACAACCAATACGCGCCGGAGTTTCAGCAGCAGCAACATCAGCAGCAGCAGCAGCAGCAGCAGCAGCAGCAGCAGCTGCAGCAGCAGCAAGAGCACCTGACAGCTGTTGCCGCCGCCGGTGGGGAAGTGTTGGGCTCAGCGGCCGGAGATAACACGGTGAGCAAGGCGGGGCATCCTTTTTGGTGTTTACCCATTCCATCGGGGTGAAGATGGCGGGGGGCTCGCAGATATACATCTGGACGAAACCCCCCCCCAGGGCGTGTTTTGGAGACGTCGTTCACGTAGTAATTCCCCTGACGAGTGTTCTTAAACCTTTCTTGCAGGTTTTCTTTCTCTCTCTGGTCTGATTTGCTGTTGTGGTGCACGAGAGAAACGGCACTTCGTCAGACGTTGAAGCCCAGGGTTTTGTCCGACCGCTACCGCTGTACAACGCGACAACGCGCCGTTCGACATGTTGCCTTCCGGACGCAAGCGTGCGTATAAGAAGCGCGTCGTACGCGAACACTCCCCATAGGAAGGGCCCGCAAACCTTCTCCAAGGTTTCGCCCGAGGTCACACGTGGCATATGTATGCGCATGACACGATTTTCCAATCTCGTTTACGGACACCCCGCTCTCCATCCACCCCCCCCCCCAACGGGCTTCGCTTTATGTTCACCGCGCCCCCTGTCCCCCGATCTAGTAATCCCTTCTTTTTTCGCAGTTTCTTGCGCGCAATCGTTTGTGCGCCATCTGTGTATCGGCGTACGTAGACCCATGAAATGAGGTTAGGCTTGAGCGGATGTTGACTTGAAAATGTTCGAGGTTCCTCGAAGGTAGAGACCCGGTTTCGGAGTAAGAGGTGTCGTTTTTGCCGCTACCAAGATGGTTTACTCCCGTCGTATGTGCTGCGTCTCTATTGTTGGCATGGACCGAGCTAGCTGACTTGACCAATGAAATGACGTCAGTCTTTCAATGCGGCTAAAAACGGAGAGCACTTGTAGAGGCCATGGTCTGGGGTCTCGTGAGGAGGTGTGCGTGTGTGAGTTTGTATGTGTTTGCATCGACCAAGTTAACCGGCTGACCCAACGAAAGTTTCGTCAGTGTCATCGCCGAACTAGGAGCAAGAGTCACGTTGTGTGTTCCTGCTAACCCCACCACCCCTCGGATCCGTTTTATTCGACCTGCCACGGGCTCCCAGAGTGTAGCCACGCCCGCGCAAACTATAGTGGCCGGCTTGGTGGGGTCCCCCCTCGAAGCGGCGGGGAGCGGCGCCGACGTCGTCGTTGAGGTCACAAGCAGTGGTAGCAACGGCGGTGGCGCCGTCGACGGATCGGTGGCGGACACGACGAGCACGCCCAACGAGGAATTGCCTCCGCAGCAGCAGCAGCAGCAGCCGCCAGATCCTCTGGTTCTGGGGACGGGGGAAGTGGTCGGGACCAGCAAGGCGTCACTTCCGCAGCAGCTGCAGCAACAACAGCAGCAGCAGGAGCAGCAACACCAGCAGCAGGAGCAGGAGCAGCAGCAGGAGCAGCAGCAGGAGCAGCACCAGCAGCACCAGCACCAGCAGCACCAGCAGCACCAGCAACAGCAACAGCAGCAACAGCAACAGCAACAGCACCAGCAACACCAGCAACAGCAACAGCACCAGCACCAGCACCACCAGCACCAGCAGCACCAGCAGCAAGGATCGACTACGACGCCGGCTCCGGCTCCGACGCCTGCGCCCGCGCCCGCGCCCGCGGCAATGCCTCCCGTGGTGTACCAACGGTGGACACAGGAGCAGAGCTTGCGCTTGAGGCAACTGGTGGAGGAGAGACAGCTGGTGGTCGGCACCTCTGGGGCGAAGGACTGGACGAACATCGCGAGGAAGGTGTGTGCAGGCCGAGGAAGAAAAACACGATGGAACGTAGGGAGATGAGAACGATTAAGGGGAGAGGGAAAGAGACCCGCCGGGGTGGCAGAAACCAACGTCACAGGGTTGTGGCAAACCTGTTCCAAGTCTCGTTCGGACAAAAGGCTTGGAGAGCGCGCATCTTTTTAGGTCGCAGCAAGAAAACAAACACGAAAGAGGAGACCGATGAGCAGCACCTGCCGGATGAGGAGGCCCAGACTAATTTGCGGGCTGACGGGTGTCGACACTGCCGCTCAAGCTCATGCAGGATACAGTATTCTCAGAGCCATGCAGTACCGCTCGCCATTGGTGGACGTCAACCTTTCTCCTCCGCACCGCTGTCCCCGCTGCTAACTTCGTTCCCCGACCGTGTTTTCGCGCGGCGGTGCTCATGACGCTGTGCTGCTTTCGGTAGATCCCGCCGAAGACGGATCTCCAGTGCATGCTCCACTGGAACCACGTCATCAACCCGGAACTGACGAAGGGCAAGGGTTCGTGGAAGCAGGAAGAGGACGAGAGGATAATCCAGGTACGCCGTTGTTGGGTTGCTGCAGTTGTGCTTGTGGTTGGGGTTGTGGTTGGTGTCGGTGGTTAACTGTAAGTGGTGATACTGTTTCTGTTGAGGGCGTTGCTCGCGACTCTTGAAAGTGTGACAGCTGACACGTTCGAACTGGCTTGTCGCAACCCTCTATCCTATCTGGCGGCGCAAACATGCACCACTAGGGTATTGGCGGTATTGTCGTTTCTCAACGTTAGACGAGCGCCGATCAGGGAAACTGTGCCCTTTTGTTTCCTCTGTAGCGCGCGATCTTTCGGTCCGATATCGCCCAAGTGTTAGGACATAGGCTTGATGTTGCGTCAGCGACACGCTCGTGAAGCCAGCAGGAAAAACAAGGAAGGGACACGAAGTATTCCCCCAGAGGGTGGGCCAGCAGCCTTGGCAGGGTTTTTCGATAAAAAAATGCCGGATAAAGCATACAAATCGGGGAAATTAGGTTAGGGTTTGGGTTAGGGAAAAAGGTTTGCGTCCCCCGTCCCTGTTCTTTTTCCTCATAAAACTTATTTTTGTCTCGCGAAGGCGGTCCGGGGCGGGCTGTATGCGCGTCTAGAAAGGGTCCGGAATATTCCTGCTCCGTTTGCCATTTCCTCGGGACGCATCACAACTAAAGTAGCGAGCTGTTTGCTTTCTCGAGATTATTTTTCTCCTAGCGTACGCAATCGTCACCCGGCGATAGTTTGATGACAATGATCCATCTATCAATTATCCGTCTAGTCGTGTCCGCATCCACCCCCGATGCTGCCTAGCCATCTCGCCCTCCCTCACTGGACACCCCGCCGCCCTACGCCATGGAAAACCCTCCTTGTCCCTCCGTGGCACCTGGCCCGACCAAGTCAGTCCTCAATAACCCAACTCATTAATTCGTCCCTACCCATCCCCACCGTCGGACCTGCTCGCCGGAACACGAAACCCCCGCCTCCCGACAGCTGGTGGAGCATCACGGCAAGAAGTGGAGCGTTATCGCGAGCCAGCTCAAGGCAGAGAACGGCAAGATGACGCGCGTTGGCAAGCAGATCCGGGAGAGGTACCTGCACCACCTGGACCCGAACCTCAAGAAGGGGGACTGGTCCGTGGAAGAGGTGCGCTGATTGTCTTCCATTCTGCCTGGTGACATCCTTGTTCCTGTTTACATCTTGTGCGTGCGTACGCGAGGAGATCGTGTCTATTGTGCTTGGGTGGGACACACGCGTCTGTTTCACATCATTTTTGCCTGTTCACATCTCGTTCGTGCGCACGGAGGGAGATGGTTTCTATTGTGTTTGGGTGTGACGCGCGTGCCTGTTCATGTCCTTGGTGCCACTGCACGGGGGGGGGGGGGGGGGTGGCGGG